CCTGTGGGTGGGTGAAGTACAAAAAATATTGTATTAGAACCGTATCTTTAGAAGCTCTATAACGAAGTAAATGCACAAAATTATGTAGAAATGTAACTTTTTTCTTCTTTGATTTTCAATTCTGCCAATCGATGTCTAGGTTAATGCGAATATTTAAATTAATCATTATCGAAACACTGTTACATTTTGCACTTTGTGAACCAAATGACAAACAACATATTTGATAACTATGATGGTTATTTGATAGGCTGCTTTTAATCTAAATCATTTTTATAACTTTTACTTCAACTATTTATTTCATCCATCGGAAGTTTTTTGAGAGCAGGCCGCCATGTTCTTTTTTGAGTCATTAACAAATTAATACTATGAAATTACAAGTAATTATTTTTTAAAAAACAAAATAATAGATAACGACCGTTACGAGCAATTATAAGTTGTAATTAATCATAAACAATTATACAATCAAAAGATCAAAAATTAATATAATCTCTAAAATAACATTGTATGATACATCGATAAAAATTCCAATAACAAACGTTTCAGCTTCACAGAGCCTTCATCAGTGTAGAACCATAATATATAATCGTTATTTTTTGATTATTTTTTATTGGTACGATCTAGTATAAATTTCAAATCAAATCTCAATAACCGACTTTTATATTTTGTGCACTAAGAATAACATATTGCAGTTATTTTCTAGAAAACTATAATATGCAAATAGTAATATGTTTTACTTATATGTATGTTTACTTATATGTATGTTCATTTTGAATTTGCACCTTGAATAATCTATCAGTTACTCTTCGTGGTAACATATTATTAAACATAGAAAATATACTTTATGTATGTTCACTTTGAACTGGCACATTTAATATCAGATACTTTTCGTGATAATACATTATATTAGATAATATCATTTAAAGTGTTAAAGGTTTAAATTTTTGAGGTGTTATTATCACATAATTATTTAATTTTTAAAGATATAAATATTATTATTAATCATTTAGAGTTTTAAAGGTTTAAATTTTTGGAGATCTTTTTTTGATTAGATAAACATTTAAAGATTTAAAGATTAAAGGTCTGAATTTTTGAGAGGATTCTTTTTTGAACATGGCTTAATCTTTTCATTTTTTCTTATATCGCGAAATATCTATCGCTCTTAGCGGTTGATATCTGGTCGGAACGATGCACTGCGGGGTGCATCGTTACAAATTGTCATATGGATCTATAAGATTCACGATACTTAAAAAAAAATACAAATGGAATGCACTGAATACGTTACAATATTACAAGACAACAATACAACAGAGATACTAAAGCATGTTCTAGAAATCGCTGAAACGCGATTTCCTAACTTTTGTCATAAGACCAAAATAAGGGAAAAACTTATAAATCTTCTTACAGAGACAATTCCTAAATTTTATTGTATTGATATACAAAATGAAATGCTTCGTTATTTCGCGCAGCAATTTATATCAGAATGGTGCAATATCATTAATAAAATATTCCGAACTATACACGATGACTTTAGTACAAACTATATGTATTTTCAAGCACATAGAATATCTGTAAAATATTGCAAAAATAAAAGTAAATAATTAAAATAACTTATAATAATAAAATAATAATTACTGTACAATATATAACTAAATATTTATATCTTTTTGTTACAAATCCAATACTGAATACATCATCAACACGAAAAAAAAACTATAACTGATTTATAGATATTCGAAAAATTAAAAATATAACTATTTTTCATTTTGTGTAAAATATATCTATTTTTTAGTCTCTGTACATTTTAATAATACGGAATTTTTTATAATAAAGATTAATAATTTCTTTTTTGAATCTGTTTTTTTAATTTCTTTATTTTTACATTTTAGGAAACCACTTCCATATAATATCGTGTGTGTGCGTATGTGCGTGCGTGCGTCGCAACAGAGAAAAGGCGATACTGTAACCTTTAATCTTTCTCGAAACTTACTAAATCAAAAAATACTTTATTATAGGATTTTAAAAAGTTCTTGACATCGGCTATTAAATTCTAAAATAAAATATAGGATTTAAAAAATCGTATGACCTTGGCAAAGCTACCCAAAATCACAAACTGATATGATCAATAAATAGATATTTTTAAACCCCACAACTTTGGTTTGTGAACATATTTTTGACTGGATCTTATCCTGCGGAGATAAAAAGGCTGGACGGATGGTCTGAGACACCCGGTATATATGTACTACATTGTAATGTATAATGTACATACACAATTATACAAAGAATTTTTCATTTCAATTGATGCAGTCGATTATTCTGAATATAAAACATTTCCAAGATAAACTTTTCATATAAAAGTTATGAAAAATAAGATAATCAAAGTTATAAAATTTTAAATGGCTCATTTCATAGTAATATTATAGTAATTTTGAATTTTTTCATTATATTCGTCTTCAACAAATATTTCAAAATATTACAATAAAATTCTTTCTTATAAAGTACTCTCCAAGGCCTTTACAGTATTTTCAACATCAGCACTATCTAAAATGTTCGATGGCTAAAACGTTTTGAATATTGTTCAAGGTCATAACCTTGACATTATTAATAATGTCAAAATCAAGAACATCAAGTTGTTCCTCTTATATTTATTTTTGCATAAAATTAAATGTACACACTAAAAGAAAAAATTAACTGTTGCAGCAATTCAGATGGTATTAGGTTAATCGAAAAGTTCCGTCCATCTAGTGGCGAGTATCTATAGCTGAAATTGTCGATAACTCTAATGTCTAAATCAAACTTAATTTTTTAGTTTTATCATCTGTCAATAAAATTCAGTATACGTTTGCATCAATAATAATGTTTCTTACTGCATCGAAGATGTCGAAATTTGAACCAAATAAACGTCATTTGCGCGAAGTGTTAATCTTTTGCTTCAAATGGAAGAAAACTGCAACTGAAGCTCATTAAATGCTTATAGAAGTTTATGGTGATAGTGCTCCGTCTGATAAAACATGCAGAGAATAATTTCGACATTTTTAGAGTGATAATTTTGACGTGGATGACAAAGAGCGTTTTGGACGGCCAACAGCATTTGAAAATAAAGAATTGCAGGCATTGGTGGATGAAGACTCATGTCTATCATGTAATGCAGAAGCATTAAATTGTGCTCAATCTGTTATTTCCGATCGTTTAAAAGCTTAGGAAAGGTCTACAGGGAAGGAAAATGGGTCCCATATGAATTGAAGTTAAGAGACATTAAAAGGCGAAAAATCACCTTCGAAATTCTGTTTGCTAGGTAACAAAGAAAGGGGTTTTTGCACCAAATTGTGACTGGCGATGAAAAGTGGATCTATTTCGATAAACCCAAACGCCGGAAAACCATCTGCGATCCAGCCAACCATCGACATCGACTCCAAAACGCAATATTCATACGAAGAAGGCCATGCTCTGTGCTTGGTGGGACCAAAAGGGCGTAATGTACCATGAGCTGTTGAAATCTGGTCAAACAGTCACAGGAGATCTTTACTGAGAACAGATAATCCTTTTGAGCCGAACATTGCGCGAAAAACGACCAGAATATGAGACAAGGGGACCTATTACGGTTTTTCGGTGAATTTAATCACTTTTCACATTTTCATATCACGTGACTTTGGTCACCCAATTACGGAATTGTTGAGTGAAAATGTGAGATAACTAGGCACTTCCAGTATAGTAATCTCACATTTTCACGAAACCAAACCAAACAAAACAGTTTGCAAGTCTTGAGTGAGGCGGACGATTCGCAGTCGGATTAAAGTTTAACTATATTAGTGAGGTTAGGCTTTTAGAGATGAACGTTACAGAAAAACAGAAAAAAATTTTATTAAATTATATGAGTATGAATGAAGATTATGCACGAAGCCGCCTACGATATAATAGCGGCAATAAAAAAGTATTAGTAAGTACTACACATTATCTGTCAATATATGTTAAAATATAAGATTTTATCAGTAATGTGGTAGTATTTTAGTTTTAGTAGATAAATGTATAATAATAAGTACATATAATAATACGCAAATTATTAATCTTGTTTACATTTTGTTTACATTCCCTATTACTCCTATATTCTTCTTGTTGCACAAGCACAAACATTAAATTATTCATTATATGAATAACAGAATAAGGTATTGCGTCTTTCTTTGTCACTCTTGCGTGATTTCACATTTTCACGGTGAAATTTTATGCCGAGCCCGCTCACACGAATAATTTCGTATTCTCACGAGGTGAAATTAACCGTAATTGGGTGAGTTTCTCACTTTCGTCATTTTCGCCCAATCCGAAAACCGTAATAGGCCCCAAGATGACATAAAGTGATTTTGCTTCATGACAACGCACGACCTCAAGTCATTAAGGCTGTTAAGGAAACATTGGAAGCACTTCGCTGAGAAGTGCTCCCTCATGCGGCTTATTCACTAGACTGTGCCCCTTTCGATTACCACTTGTTTCGGCACTCGCACTTGCTGAGAAACGCTTTAATTCTTATGAAGATGTCGAAAAATGGGTCTTTGACTGGATAGCTTCCAAGGATGAGTCATTCTTTTGCAGCGGAATTCGCTTTCTGCCCGAAAGATGAAAAAAAGTCATTGCTAACGATGGACAATATTTTGATTGATGTACTTTTTATTTTGTTTCTTAAATAAAATCATACTTCCTGCAAAAAAATAGGAACTTTCCGATTGACCTAATATAACATGGCATAAAATTTTTAATTGGCTGCAGAATTAAGCCAATTTTTGGTTGTATTAGTTTGCAATATCATTATTTGGATAGACTAATGCAACTAAAATTGGCTGTTGCAGTCAATTAAAAATTTTATACTATGTTTAATCAATTTTTTCTTTCAGTTCACGTACATACACAAATCTATTTAATTACATTTCAAAAGTTTTCACATAAAATACAAATAACTTCATAAAGAAATTTTCAAAGAACATTGTTAGCTGAATTCATAAAATATTACTTACTGGTTTTGGTCCCTCTCCTGGTATTCTTTCTTCATCCGCATCAGTGTCGCTAGCTGTTAATACTTGTTGCAATAATTGACCCTGCTCGTCTCGATTTCCATACATCAAATCTGACTCCTAAAAATATTGCAATCATAATTATATTTTATGTAAAAAAAATCATAGATAGTCATGTTTACTTTTTTCATTCTGATAAATTACTGAGCCTGACAAGCAAAAATGTTTCAGATAAACGTTTTCTTTTTTACGGTTCGGAGGAAAACAAATAATGATAAAATCAATTTTTCATTATTACGTAGTCATTTTCATTTTCAATATGTGAAACTTTCATCATGTAATTATAAAATTCAAGAAAATTTTATAATAAATACCGATGAGAATATGCAGTAAAGGTCAAACTGGATCTTGAATGCTTCTAATATTACATATTATATATAATTTTGTGTGAATTTATATACTATATGTAGATTCTTAAATGCGTGCCGAAATTTTTTCAGCCTTACAGCGCAAACTCTAATAAACTACCGCAGTACTATCACGAGGTAAATAGACCAATAATCTAACAATTTTGATGCTCACAACATTTTGGATCTTAATAATGTTGAATGACATATTAAGATCTATGACTGACAAATTAAAAACCTGTAAATAATTAATTTACATTGCGAAAAATATTACCTCAACTGGGAATCGAACCCGGACCTTTGATATTCCGTGCGAGCATACTAAGCGTTTAGACTACCAAGGACTTAGTAATATTCTTCAATCATATACGTACAAATAACTATTCTATTTACTAGTCTATTTTCAGGCGACATAAACAAACAATATCAAATTTTACTGGACCGTGAGAGTTTAAACTAATAAATAATGATGAGAACACGCCGTAATGATCAGGCTCGATCTTGGATGCTTCTAATATATGTATATAATTTTGTGTGAAATTTTATAATTATATAATTTTTATTTACATATAACGTGATTCTTCTAACTATTCTATAAATGAAAATGACAATTGTGTAATACAAAAGGACTGGTAAGAGTCAAATTAATAGAAATAATTTATCAAAAATTTCAAATAAAATAATGGAATACAACGATTTAATTGTAAACTTTACTTTAACATTACATGTTTCAGCTGTATGATTCAGCCCTCCTCAGATATATGTTCAACAATTGTATAACATAAAACTCACATATTATATTCTAAACCGCAAAATTAATGTATATTAGAAATGCTATTTTAATGATGCGATGGATATTCTGGACAAGATAAAATCATCCTCATTCAGCAAACGATTAAAAGCCCGATTGAAATAGAATTTCACCATGTTCTGATAGGAGAAAAAAATTTTTTTTGTAATAATAGGAAACAGGGCTACGAGCCACAAATTCGTTCTTAAGGAGATGGCTAAAATCGTCGTGTTTTATCACGATTCTATTTAAAGAGAAATATCCGAATTGTCTTTACGGGTTGCAAAATCCTTTCACAGAATAAAAGTACGCACGAAAAACTATATTGGAAATCCTAATTTCACTAGAAAATCGGAAAAAAAATTCACTTTTTCTGACACGTACAGCTGTCACTTGAGGTTAACATTCACTTAATATAAAAGTTTTAGAGATCACAGATTGAAAATAAGCGTCAGGCATCGGATTATTTGAACGAACAATATTGAGTTTGCGGAACCAAGATTAAATGCGCAGAAAAAATATTTCTCCTAAAATAGAAATCACATTATGCGAAGATTCAGAAAGTCAATAGAATTTGACAGAACCATAATTGCGTTTGAAGTAGTTGCGTCGTCTTGAGATAGATGGCGTTGTAGAGCATTAAATAAAACTATGCCAGAAACAATGAATTTTTTAATTTTTTTTCCAATTTTCTTGTGAATTCGTCTTTACCAAGATGTCTTTTCTTGCGTAATTTCGTTCTGTAAAAGGATTTTGCAATCCATAAAGTCAATTCGAATATTTTTCCTAAAACGTTTCGGGGGCTTGAAAACAAACGACCAGAGCGAGAGAGCCTGTGCTCTCGCTGTTTCGCTCGCTCCCCCTCCTCCCCAAAGCCTTCGTTCCCGTCGCCGTAACTGCTTGTCTCGCTAGCGACCAAGGATGCTTTCTCAGCAATCTCGGTGGCTCGGCGTGTATCAGTATTCACTTTGTACTGGCACCTTTATTAATAATATATCAGCAGGGAATGGAAAGTTACTTTTTAAAAATAACTAGTTACAGTTACTCGTTACCGAGTAAAAAATGTAACTAGTTACAGTTATCGCTTTTTAAAAGTAACTCGTTACAGTTACCGTTACTTGAAAAATAACTTTTCGTTACTTTTCCGTTACTTTTTTAAAATCAATTTAAAAATGTACTTTTGCATTTTTTTTATATGTAATACTGACAAATATATAGTTTTATTTAAAAAAAAAAAAACAATGTAGAATGGCTCAAATAATAAATTAAATAAAAGTAAAATGAGAAGGGTTACGAGTCAATAATGAAACAGTTTATTTCCGATAAGAACGACGATGACAATGTAATTAAATGTATAAATATATATTAGAACAATACATAGATAAAACAAGATAAAAACAAACGACGTTTCGACACTTATTGTCATCGTCTTTTAAACTGTTTCGCTTTTTGGTTCATAGCCCTTCTCATTTTACTATTATTTAATTTATTTTTTAATTTTTTTTAAACACAATTTTGTAATTCTAAAACCTGTAAAATATGCAGCAAACTGAAATATTTGTATGTCCTATGTATTACATAGAAGATAGAAGTGTAAAATAATTACTGAATCATAACGGCCGAATGTCTAAGGGCTTTCAAGTCTTATTGATAAGCGCTATAAATAGCATGTATCCAATCGAACCGTGTTCAATCGTGTGCAAAGTAACGACAAAAGTAACTGTAAATTTCGTTACCGTTACCCAAAAAATGTAACTCGTTACCGTTACAGTTACCAAAAAAAGAAAGTAACGCAGTTACCAGTAAAGTTACCAAAAAAGTAACTTGTAACTGTAACTTCGTTACAAGTAACGAGTTACTTCCATTCCCTGTATATCAGTTACTTTTCATGGTAATATAATATTATTATTAGATAAAAAGGTTTAAACGATAATATAAATTTTTTTTTAATGTGGTTTAATAATAAACAAAGGAATTAAAAATGAGCATATACCACGACGCTGGATAGATTTAACGAAAATATAATGTATTTCGTAGAATCTTAAAACGAAATTTTTATTATTATTAGTAAACGATTCGGTCTTTAATATGACCATCATCAGTAAACGAAGAAAAATTAATTTTAATATATTGTAAAGAATATTACTTAAGTATGGTGTTTTGTCCCAGCTTCCACTACTGGACTCGTTAGTAAGGCAATGTAGTGGAAGCCTACCTTATACGCCTGCAAGAGTTATTCAATCGAGATTCTATATAAAGCGCAATATATTAAATTATTCGCAATATATTAAATTAATTTTTCTTTGTTTACCGATGATGGTCATATTAAAGGTCGAATCGTTTACTAATAATAATAAAAATTTCGTTTTAATATATATCCTACGAAATACAATATAATTTTGCTAAATCTATCCAGCGTTCGTGGTATATGCTCATTTTTAATTCCTTTATTGTTTATTACTAAACCACATTAAAAACTTATATTATCGTTTGTATTTACACGAGCATTAACATGTGTCTTAGGCCACCATTTAGAGTTGCGTTTCAAAACCGATGATAGTTCGGTGCGCAATTTGGAGGGGATTTGAAAGATTTGCGTTTCAAGACCGACGATAGTTCGGCGTGCAAATTAAAAGAGGGGGATGGATATAATACATACATTACTATGGATAAAATATCCCCCCTCCTAAATATTTGCGCGCCGAAGGATTTTCGGTCTTGAAACGCAATTATAAATGCTAAATCTAATTTTTACTTAATGAATAGACTAACAATGTACTACCCGCGTTGTTACAGCCCGCGGTTTGAAAACAAATAATTGAAGAATTAAAGGACTCTTTTATATAACAATAATTAATACGTTAAAAATGGCGAATAAGAGTCAAATTACAATTTAAAATCTGAATCTAATAATTTATTCTAATATTCTATATTGCGAAGAATATCACGTAATTTTTACTACGTCGACCCGCCATCAGAGGTCTATCGATATTCGTAAATTCTCGCAAGTGCTGAGACACGCGTATATCTCTTTATATAGCATCTCGATTTAATAACTTACACCGGCGTCTAAGGTAGGCTTCCACTACAATGCCTTACTGACGAGTCCAGTAGTGGAAGCTGGGACGAAACGCCGTATTTGAGTAATATTCTTCGCAATATATTAAAATTAATTTTTCTTCGTTTACTGATAATGGTCATATTAAAGACCGAATCGTTTACTAATAATAATAAAAATTTCGTTTTAAGATTCTACGAAATACATTGTATTTTCGCTAAATCTATCCAGCGTTCGTGGTATATGCTCATTTTTAATTCTTTTGTTTAAAAAGGTTTAAATTTTTGAGTATACTTTTTTGAACATGGCTTGAACTTTTCATTTTTATGATATGATTTTTTTTGAATATCACTTACTTTTTAGAGTATAAATATATTACAAATATATAAAAAAATGATTTGAAAATATTATACACTGCTCAACAAAATTAAAGGATCACTTGTTCCACCCTGCAAAAATAGACAAACTTTTAGATAGAATAACTTCATCAAAAATCATTGTATCGAGATGTTTAAAAAAGCATTTTAAAGCTTGAAATCTTTACTTTTCAGACTGATGAAAAAACGGTCTTACTGATATTTCGTGAAGTTGCACAGTCATAAATAAAAGTGTGTCAAACCTAAAAATTTTTTACAAAATTTGCCAAGTTTCACGCAGCCAAGTAAAAATTGTGCACAAATGTGGTTTACAGCTTTCGAAAGAGTAAATCTTTACCTTCAATTTGTTTTTCTGCTGAGCTTTGTACGATTTTTTTTCACCGAGTTATTTAACATTGAAGCAAACATGATCCTTTTTCCTTATATTAAATGACTCTAATTTTGTTTAAAAAACTGCAGACAAACTTCAACATAAAATAACTTTGCCA